CGCCTCGCTGCCCCCCCGCCCCCAGCCGGGCCTCCAGCCACGGAAATTCCCCCAGGAGGCTGAAACCCGTCAAGCAGAAATAGGGAAGAAGGGGAAAAACAATAATAAAAAAAAAAAAGCAATCTGAAAGGGAGGCTTTCATGCCTGGACAGGGTTTGCAGCTGCAGCGCTTGGCAGCTGTGCAGGGGCACTTTTAATGGTGCAGCCGCTGGCTGAGAAGTTGCCGGCCGCGGTTTATTGTTCGCCTTCAACCAGTTGCGCCTCTGAAGCCGGTAGGCAGGCACGTGAAACGCCGTAGGCCTCCACGCCTGGCCTCCCGGTCCTTCCACCCCGCACAAAGATCGGTTCTAACAAAACCTGACCCTCGCCGGTGTGCCTTAACTAGTAACAGATAACAGATATGTCTATAAAAAGGACTTTTAAAGCGGGCGTATGAGAATATTCAAAGGAACATGAAGGACAGAACAAGCGTTTTTCAAAAGTTAAACCTGAGAGAGCAAACTACCTCCTCCACTATCACCTGCCAAGCGGTGTTACCTGTGCTTTCTCTAGGTCAGAAATACATTCCTTTCCCGTGGCACAGACTGATTTGATCATCAGCCTCATGCTCTGTCCTTGCCCACACCGTGAAGTACTGCAATTACCTCTCAGGTGTGTGCAGGTGTCCACAAGCAACGTGCTTTACCCTGCTGACGCTCTCGCAGTGTATCACCTCTCTCTGTCAAAGTGTGCCCATGGTTAAACTGTCATTTCCTTAAAACTTACAAGCAGATTATTTTATTATGGTTTAGTAAATATACTTTACTAGTATGTCTCATTACACTGTACAGCCAGGTATTTTTTGACAAACAAATGTAGGAAGACAAAACAGCCAGGTTATAGACTACCTAGATCCTAAGGTAAGAGACTGTAACTGATGGATATTTATTTTGATACTGTAAGTGCTAAGGAATATGCTCAGGTATTAAAAGTTCACTTCTTAAAAGTTCAGCCTTTCCCTGCTATGCTTGCAAACAAGCAGGATAGAGTGTAAGTACCTGAGTAGGAGCCAGTTCTGTGTGAGGCTCCACACACCTCAGGGCCTCCTCTTACTTCCAAAGTCATCAATCGTTTTGCACCGCTGTATAACTTTATTATCGGTCATTATTGGTGCAAAATAGAACAGTGTGATGAAAGGTTGCATATAATTTCCTCTGAGAAATACAATCATTTTAAGTATCATTTTCAGGTATTTCAGTAACCTAAGTTGTTCTTTGCTACAACATAATCTTTCTTTAAACTTTTTCATGACAAAATGGAAAAAAAAAAATGTTTTATGTGGGGAAGAAGCTATGCAAAAAATCCATTTGGGCACACAAAATCATTATCAAACTGCATAATAATAATATAGGTCTCATGTCTACACTTTTCATCTACAAAAACATTGCATAACTTTCCATAGTTCCTCCGCTCCTTGCTGTCCTGGGGGCAGACTGGTTGAGACATAAGGTAGAATGACTTACCTCAAACTCCCAAGTGAGTCAGTAGCAGAAGAGAGGTTATGACTCACACTCAACGTACAAGCTTGTGTTTTTCCCTCTGGAACTGGAAACATAGCAGGGAACAGTGGGAGGAGCAGTAATTTAGCACCACACCCTGCCTTCAGAATATTTCATTGGGTAATAAATGCCTATGAAGAGCAGATACCATCCAGGGTTGGTGTTTGGGTTTGGGGTTTTTTTAACCTTATCTATGAAACGCACACGGTAAACTCCATGGCGTTCAGTTTATCTGCTTAAAAAGGATGTTGGGATGAGCTCACCCTGCCAAGGTTCGACTGTGTAGCTGCTTACAGAGAGTTCAAAGTAAGTAAATGAATGGAAGAGTATCTTCAACCGATATTGCCATATTACCACTGATGCAGTGGGAGATAACCCTAAGCAAAATCAGATTAAAAAAAAAAAAAAAAGCAAGAGAATTCAATGTACAAAAAGCACAAGTCACTGAAATAGCACATTAAAAATATTATGCAACACATACTACGCTACATACCAAAGACTGCGGTGATTGTAAAAAGATGGGTCCAGATGTGGTCACTGTTAATGAGATACCAGAGATAGGCAAAGCTCATTGGTATAAGCCAACCATACAGCACTTCCTGACAGTACCACATAGTTCTAACAAATACACAGCTAATCGAAAATAATTGTTTTATTACTTTCCTTTAAAATATGTATAATTCTAAAATGTTACTGAAAATTCTCAGGAAGTGGGCCGTTCAGACATTAACATCAGCAGCCTTTCAAGTAGACTACAAATATGAGATAGGTTGTATCTTACTACAGCAACCAAGTTATAGGCTGTTGTACATATGTATTCCAATATACTCTTCCATTGCTAGATCATGAAATTCAGGTATGGTCTTCTAGACCATTAATGGCAGATTTTGGGGTGGATGTGAAGAGAAGCTCAAAACACTTGTAAATAGGCAGTAAGCATAGTTTGTAGGCAGGTAAAAATTTCCTGAAATAAAAAAAATAATCCAAAACAAAACTCCACTTTTTTCCCCCATTAAAAAAAATCCTGTAAAACAGATTCCTATTAAAAGTGCACAAAATGCAGAATATAATCATGTGTCTTCAGGACAAGATTGTTCATCACCATTTTCTAGTCTGAGCTCCTGCACAAGCCATATGATAGATATTACCTCCAGCCAAAATAACCTTGTCACTGAACAAAAGATTTTGAGAGACATAAGCTGTTTATATAAAGTAAGCCCACAATATCCCCAAATTAACTGCTGCAAAGGTTATTTACTTACATTACTATAAACTCGAGCTATATTTCGAGCTTGAATTTTCCAAGGCAAACTTTTAGTCTTTGAGGTTTTTTGGGTATCAGATAGTTTCTTGTGGAGGGAGTTTTGGATAGCAGAGTTGCTGATCTCAACAATGCTGTAAAAAAATGTGCGTAGCTCTTCAAATGAAAAATATTTTATTAAAAATATTACTGTTTACACAGTGAAGTGATCAATAACTATTACTTATGGAACAATGCAGGTATAGGTACCCAAATTTTCTCCCCATCCTAACACATAACTTTCCCTTCTCAAGGCTACCCTTTAATGGATGCTGACCTCCTTCCATCAGTAGGAACAGTGGAAACTGACAACATTTTATGTGCAAGTTTGCAGATGACACCACCTGAATGGTGCAGTTGACACAACTGAGGGACAGAATGACATCCAGAAGGACCTGGACAAGCTCGAGAAGTGGGCTTGTGTGAACCTCATGAGGTTCAACAAGGCCAAGTGCACGATCCTGCACCTGGGTTGGGACAACCCCTGGTATCAATACAGGCTGGGGGATGAAGGTGTTGAGAGCAGCCCTGCAAAGAAAGTAATGGGGGTACTGGTGGATGAAAAGCTGGGCATGAGTCAACAATGTGTACTTGCAGCCCAGAAGGCCAACCATATCCTGGGCTGTATCAAAAGGAGCGTGGCCAGCAGGTCGAGGGAGGTGATTCTGCCCCTCTACTCTGCTCTGGTGAGACCTCACCTGGAGTACTGCATCCAGCTCTGGAGTTCTCAGTACAGGAAAGACATGGACCTGTTGGAGCAGGTCCAGAGGAGGGCCACAAGAATGATCTGAGGGCTGGAGCACTTCCCCTATGAAGAAAGGCTGAGAGAGCTGGGGTTGTTCAGCCTGGAGAAGAGAAGGCTGCAGGGAGACCTATTGTAGCCTTTCAGTACTTAAAGGGGGCTTATAAGAAAGATGGGGACAAACTTTTTAGCAGGACCTGTTGTGATAGGACAAGGTGTAATGGTTTTAAACTAAAACAGGGTAGATTTAGACTGGATATAAGGAAGAAATTCTTTACGATGAGGGTGGTGAAACACTGGAACAGGTTGCCCAGAGAGGTGGTGGAGGCCCCATCCCTGGAAACATTCAAGGCCAGGTTGAACAGGGCTGTGAGCAACCTGATCTGGTTGAAGATGTTTCTACGCATTGCAGGGGGGTTGGACTAGATGACCTTTAAAGGTCCCTTCCAACCCAAACCATCCTGTGATTCTACATCCTTCTTAACACCCTAGATCACTTAAATGTTTCTGAAAGATGGACAATAATAGTTAGTAAAACTTTTTGTGATTGATTTCTTGTAGTTTAGTACTTGTGAGTTCAAGTTATCCTTCTGCTATGTCTAAGAACATGATTTTCAACTTTGGAACGTGCATTTTTAACACGTGTATTACTCTAAACTTCATAGCTCTTTTCAAGTATTAGGATCATGGCAGGATCTCTATCCTAAATACAGTGCGGCAACACTGAAAGGACTAAAGAAAAGACTTAGAGTTAAAGCCAAATTATGTTATAAAATAACAATCTTACAAGTGATGCTTATAATTTGTTGGTTTCTTTTTCTTTGTTTGTTTGTTTTTTAATTTGGATGAAAAGCAGAAATACATGCCATATATGCATAAAAGTACAGAAAAGGGAATTTGAAGGTCGCTACCATGCCTGGTTTGGAGTACTTTTGGTTCCTGGTGTTCACAGCCTGGTCTGTATATTACCCTTCTCCAAACCATCCTGTTTAAAGTCATGTGAATTGTCAGGTGCCAGAACAGAGCTGGATGCAGCTGTGTTGTGGATGAGGATTTGTACTCTATAAAACAGAACCGCTGAAGTGCTGTGGGATTGACAGTGCCTTAGACACCAGCTGGTCCTAACAGGGCAACCAACCCCTTCTAGTCCGAGGAAATCCACCTCCACAGAGCGCAAACATAGAAACAAATAAACAGTGGGGTGTCTAGAATGAAATTAGAGACATGCAGATTTAACTCCTTCCATAACCAGAAACAGAAGAAAGAAATGCATTCTCTTTCAGAGAAGCAATTATTTCCAGTAATGCTGTACATTGCTCTGGGAGCAAGAAGAAGTCTTTCTACCGTAAATGAGTCTTGTCCAGGTTTGATGGTTTTCTGCCACAGGATGGACTCCACAGTGGGGAGAAAGGGAATAGGAGGCTTAATGACTGCTTTGTGCTGGCTCGAGCTGGCAACTGAGAATTAAACTCAGTGTAAACATGAATTTAACATATGAAAAGGTATTTTTCTCCATTTTATTTTCCTGTTTATAGTCCGTATAATAGTACAAGAAATATATTGTTTCTGTAAAATATTTCCTAACACAGATGGCAAAGATTTCATTAAAAGTGATAAATTATTAAATAAAACAAAATAAAATATTCTGAGATAAATTATTTCTGATGTAACTCCAATGAAGTCCAAGGAGTTGCATGAAGATGAATTCAGCTCAACAAGCTTTATCCTACTTAGGGCAAAACACATCACATGGCATGGTTTATGGTAGTTTCAGCTATTCCTTAGCAAGCTCAAGCAAGTAGCTCACTCAAGCAGGTAATAGATCTCACATGAAAAAGTAACAGATCATATATTGAGGCATGCAAAATGACGTTTCATCACAACAAAATGTCAACTAGTAATTCATTACATTCCTAGAAATAAGTCAAGACGAAATGTTCAGTATTCAATTACAGCTAAGTGTGCTGGATTGCAACAGTTAATTTATTTGCGTATGTTCCCTTCAGTTATTCAGCTTTTCACTTTGCAGTTAATATTGCACCTTAATAAAAAAAAACTTATTTAGGACTGCAGAAGAAACTTGAAATTCATCAAAAGTGAATGTTGCAAACTCTGTACTGATTTTTTAATGCATTCAAGATTATTTGGAACTTGTCTTGACATTAAAGATCATCTCAGCAAAGACAAATGATGGACAACGGCATCTTTTGAGTTAATGGGACAGGAAGTTTAAGGGAATATTGATTAACAAGTGTGGCTAACTGAACACAGAAAATTGTAAGATGGACTATATAGAGACTTCGTAAACTTAGAATAACTTAATGAATTTACCTGAACCACTTAGTCATAATAATCCTAGAGGCTGTATTTACAGCAAGCAAATAATCCCCTAAACCAAATATTTCTGTTGCTTTTCAGGTTAACAAGGCTCCTTTTGCTTCTGCAACCTGAGCAGTGTCTGGATCTGGCATTGTTCTACATTAGTATTTTAGGCACATTCCTTACAATTGTGAGTATTCATGAAATTTACATTACCTTTTCTCAGCAGTATCAAACTAATTGCCAATATCAAATGTCGTTTGCAAAAATACCATATCTAGAATTCCACAAAAATAAAAATATTTCCATATGAAAAGAATACGTAGTCAAGCCTTCCCAAAAATATTAAAATGAAAAACAAGCATATTTTACAAATAGAATAAATAATGCAGTGGAACAGAAGACTGTATGTTATATTTCTGTTTGAGATCATGGTATCACATCCAGAGATCTATAAAAATTCAGTTAATTTTGTGCATCTTCAATATGCACTCATAATACACAGTACAGTTGCTCCATTTGAGCTGCCAGAGAGTACACTATGAATGAGTGTTAAAAATGTTGTGCATTCTGTGTTATATTTTCATAATATAGAATGCTCTTACTTACATATTGTGTATTATTCCTAATACACATTCAGAGCATATATTTTAACAGCTCCTTTGGAACCACTAACATGTATGCTGTGAATGTGTATTAACAGCAGAAT